TTTTTTACAGTGATTTGGCCAAGAAGGTAGCAGAAATTGAAGCAAATATGACATATTAAAAAAGAAGATTTTTCAAGTGACCAAAAAGGACTGGATTGGTTCTAACAGTAACACAACAGCACAAGTAATTTCTTTATTTTACATCTAACTCCTCTGTATATCGTGTTCACTAAAGTCTATTCGCCTATATAAGTAAAACGAATATGAAAAAGCGGAGAAACATCGGAAATCCCTTTTTGGCACAACACCGGGCACAAAACCACAAGCCCCAATGGAAACTATCGTGTATGTTTTTGTTGCTCTTCCACTTGTCCTAGCAGCATATGGACAAACATATTAAATTACAAAATAACATAATATCTTGTATTTATCAAGGTAGGACTTTGACCCGAGTGCCACCAATTTTAACAGACCTAAACAGACTCACAGCTTTTCCTTTTTCTTACGCACATTTCAGGATCCCCCAGAAGACACGTCTGCTTGTACGACGATCTCTCCCGCGAGAAGAAAAAGTAACTCTCAAAATGTTAAATATAAATGATCATCAACGTTATTTTAAATATTTAAATCAACTTGCGACTAGTTTCAGTGTGTAGGCCTAAATCAGTTTCATGCCCGTTTTTTGGTCTTAAGTAAGATATTGTGTAGCGCATGGGGGAGGGGGGCAGACAGAGCTCAGAGTTCTGCTGCAGCCTAAAAATGAAGCTATTCGTATTTATCCATAAAGTACTGGAAGCCACACTGAAACAGGAATATGTAGCCTAATAATTGGACATAAACTGGAAACAAACTGGAGGGAAACAGTTTGATATCTCCTGATAATTGGTGTCTTTCCTCTGTGCCTGAAAAAAAAAAAAGACAAAACATATTAAGAGTGACGCGTCCGCGTCAGCTGGCAGAGATGCGCGTGGTTTTTATGAACAGGCAGCGCGTCAGAGAAGCGCTAATCATGAGCGAGCTGCAGAGCGGCGATGATATAAACATGTGATAGTAGCTCAGTTACCGCTACACCTGACAGGATTACACGCACCGGAGGTCTCTGCTCCGTCTCTCTGATACGCTGCTCTGCTGAGAGAGGAACATGGATACTGCGGATCAGGGTGCTCAGATAGAGCCGCTGCTGCCATCGGTAAACAGAAACTGATGTCTTGGGACAAATATTTACTAATGTACATTAATATTTCAGGACTAGTGTCAAGCTTAGTGCGTGTACTGCGTGGAGTACTGGTAAAAAAAAGATGTTGCTAAAAGAGGCAGGAAAAAAAAGAAATCGGGAAGCAGATTCAAAACGTTTGGCTCTCAGATGGTTAAATAATTAAGTTAACTGTGGAGTTTTGAGGAGCTGTGGTTCACCTGCAGGGATCTACTGAAAGCACGCTGCCACTCCAATCAAGAGGAATGGCAGTATGTCAGCTCGTAATATTTTATTGAATTCATCCTTTTAGTGAGCCAAAATGTAACTTCATCTCCAGAGGCATGATGGTAAAATATCTGAATTGAAACAGACATTGGGAGGCTTTCATTGCTACTCCTTTAAATTTCAGTATGATGCTGTGTTAATTCAGTGATGCTGTAACATGCTATAACATTTTGCAAATGTAAGGTAAATCCCTGCTGTGACAGCTGTGTTGCTATTAATACATCATAATTCTGACAGAAGTGACTTTTTATCATCATATTATGTAAATATATTATAACTTTCATCTTGTTAATGTAAAATCAGGCATAGCTACAAGTTGCACTAATAAAAGCAGGTAGTCTTCACACATTCAAATTCTGCTTGAGCATGTCATTTGGAGAAGTCATCTCATAGAGGATGTTCACAGAGGGAGGAGGACCCGTGTTCATTGGTCTTTTCCGATCGTTTTAGTGGAGATTTGTTGTCATTATCTGCTGGCTGTTATTATGAAAACTGATTTTTCCATTTCTCTGAATGCTGGGAGTTGCAACCCTCTAATACGACTTTTAGAGCCAAGTATAGATTTGGCTTTGAAACGTAAGGTCACAACCTCACCTTAAAACTCACTCAGCAGTTAAGAATTGAACAGAACTCAGTGAGTTTTAAGAATTTAAGGACTGAGTTGAGCTTTTGGAAATGTTCAACTTTAAAAATTTGATTTGGTGTTTTATTAAATAAACTTTATTTGCAACTTTATGTCTTTTCAGGCCAGTTCTCCCATTGGATCCTCAGTTGGGCGAAGAAGTCTGGTGAGTTGTTCCTTGGGTTTTACACCTTAGATGGATGCCGTTAGGGTGAACTTGCCAATAAAAATGACCGTGGCTCAGGGGGTTGGGAAGCGTATCTGTAACTGGAAGGTCGCCGGTTTGATCCCCGAGCTCTCTGTCCTGGTCGTTGTGTTCTTGGGCAAGATACTTTACCCTACTGCGTACTGGTGTTGGCCAGAGGGGCCGATGGCACGATATGTCAGTCTGCCCCAGGGCAGCTGCGGCTACAACCGTAGCTTGCCTCCAAGCTCCACCAGTGTGTCAATGCGAGAGTGAATGAATAGTGGCATTGTAAAGCGCTTTGGGTGCCTTGAAAAGTGCTATATAAATCCAATCCATTCTTATTAAAAGTTACATTGATTATCATTTGCATTTGATTATCACTATATCATAAGTGAAAGAAGATAACAGGTTCATTCTTGGATCAGCAGAACACTCCAAGAGGATTGAGTGTAACACAATGACCTTGTGATTTTACTTTATATACATACAAAGCAGAGAGGAGACACTATATAAACCAAGGTTTATCTGCTGTGCAGCATTGATGATGTCACAGCGATAATCTCATGATGACAGAGTGGCGGAACTGTCGATAGATGCTCGATCACAAATTACAGTTGTTTGACACAGCAGAAGGGCATCAGCATTTATCAGACATGGTGTGAAGCTGGGCAGCAGGAGCTCAGCTTCTACACTGTCTTTCATTCAGTCACTACTGATTAAATAGCAGAGGACACTAAGGGAGAGCTCATGCAGTCTGAAAACGAACAGGCACCTTGGTTTTTCAACAATCAGGTAGGCTACAGCTCATGACGCCAGGCATTTATGTTGATGATGTGAACTGTTTTATTGATGTGAAGTTTCTCTCTGCTGAAAACCCAAGTTTGCTGCATGTTTAACAAGGGAAAAAGTGTTTGGTTAGCGAAGAGATTTTTCAGTGTGTCCAGAATCAGTGGAAAAGCCCGATTAAAAACTGGCAAGTGCAACATTTTTTGCAGCTGGGGGATGGATGCAGACCTAAAGTCTGCCAAAAATAAGGGGTCAGAGCTGCAAAACACCTTACGTAGCAGCTCTGGTTAAAAAGTGATTTGGCGCTAATGTGTCCTCTTACAGGATGTTGAAGTTCGAAGCAGAAACATTTAAGGATTACAGTACATTTTGTGCCACATGAAAGCCTGTGCGGTTAATGATATCGCTGCCACTGATGGATTCAAAATTGCCACAGCCATCTGTAGGGATCAGATCCAAGTATGTGCCACATCCTGTGATATCACTTCAGCTGTGTGGTGTGCCAGCAGCCTTTAACATGATTTTACTGGGTGGATGCTGATCATTAGTCTTGAAAGTAGCTGTCTTTGTGCGTGCATTGGGTGTGGTTTCTGGAAAGTAATCAGACTACTATACAACATTGTAACTATTTTTGTTTTTTTAATATTTGCATCTGTTCTTAAGAGCTAAATGCTTCAGGTGTAAAATGTGCTTATAGGAACCAGTCAGTTTATAACTGAAATTGAAGTGATAACAATAGTAATAATATGAATAATAACCTTTAGTTATATAGGACTTTTTAACCTTATTTTACAAGGTGCTTCACATAAGAAACAAAGCAAGCTCAAATAGCCACCTTTAAAACTTCAGATTGTCACATTGACACAGTATTTATTGATCAGATCTTTTTCTCATGTGAGCCCAGCTTCCTTAAAAGGTGACAACAGTATATCAGTGGTTTTTGTGTTTATAGTTTAGCACCCTTTTTAGTCAGTAAACCCATACAAACCACACAAAATAGAGGTTATAGACACATCATAGTGCACTGCTTCAGTGTATACAACATTCCTACAATGAATAACATATATTGCCATTTATCATTAACATGATGCACATTAATACCATCTCACAGACTAATGTGGCTGGTGTTTTAGTAATAAATGCCGGCTTTTAATCTGAGCAGGATGTTGATCCGTAGCTGTGCATTTGTAGACAGATTAACAGCATCAGCCTCGTGGCTTGGCATGCCCATGTGGCTCTGCAGCTGTAAACAGCAGTGCCCTTCATTATCGTAATGCTCTGACGGTCTACTGGAGGTTAAGATGGCTCACGGAAAAAGCTGGTATTAAGCTTTCAAGACAAAAATATTGACTGTGTTAATATTGGTGGGTTTTTTTTTAAAATCAAGAGATTCAAAGCATGTAAAGGAGTTTCAATCTTTTGGTCAATACTGTGACAGGACTAAGAAACACCAACGTAGCAAAGTGCCTACTTCTGATAAGTCAGCATATTTAAATATCAGACCCATGAATGGCAGTGAAATTGTTGCATTCCTCATTATTTTATGTATAAATGTATTTTTTTTAGTGCTTCAATCAAAAAAATCGCTTTAAAGAAATCGGTCTATTTAAAATTTAGTTTAATGTGTTTAAGCCCACTGAATGAATAACCTGCAAAAAAACCTTTGTGCTAAACTTTGGCCTTTATGCTTATAAACACAATAATTATTGAGTTTTTAGGGTGTTGTAGACTTCTGTTACATGTTACATGGCTCTACATGGCTTGATTCTGGTATTTTTTGTTAAGATACCCATTCTTGTTGTAGTTTCTGGATGAACAAGTTTGAGAAATGTAACAATCTTTTAAGTGCAAATTCATTTTTTAAAGATTCATTATAATACTTCACAGATTTGTGCATGTATTTAGTTTATTTGGCACATTGACACATGTCAGGAAATATGTGTATTGCCAACTTCCTGTACAAATCTGCATGAAGCACAGGGACAGAAATACCATTTTATCTCTCCACCCACCATGAAGCTGGAGTGAGCGGGCTTTGTGTTTTGTTGTAGTCAGTGACCTCAGCCTACTCTACATCAAACTTGCCCTTTCTGTCCTGCGCCTTGTTTATGTTGTACCGTGGTTATGCATCCATCAGATGAGCACACAGAGTTCAGCTGTAAGTGCTCATGCTGTTGGTGTTCATCTGTGTAATCCTTCAAAGCTTTGAATTTTTTTATAAATCCAAATTCAAATAATATTTTTTAAAGAAAAGGTAAAAGCACTGGGTTTCTATCTGTTCTCATATGACAAATAATGATTTCTGAAGGTTTTCTGAATCCCTTTTACCACCTCCTCACTTCCATTATCTTTCACAAGTATTACATAAGCTTTCACACCACAGACTGCCGGTTTTCTCTGAGATCTGAATCTAATCATCTAAATCCATGTCCAGTATGAATGGTTTTAAACCTGCAGGTTTATAAGACAGGAGGATGTAGGAAATGCTCAGTCTTGAAAGGGTCTTAATATGCTATTTTGTGTTTTCTTTCATAATTTTAATATTTAAATTGTTGCTAAGGTTTTTGCTCATATTAAAAGTTTGAAATAATAATGGATATTCAAGTAATCACAGTGAGGTAAATTCTTGGGTTTCAGACTCCTCTAAATGCTCAGTTGCACCATTTTCTGTTTACATTTAACTCTGTATGATGTCAGGAAGAGGCGATATTCCTTAAACAGTCATCTGAAGCACTCAGCTATGGCAGAAACATCCCCACCCATCTGCTGTTCAAGCCTTAAATTTTCAAGTGGCAGCCAACTAAAAGAAAAGCCGGATTGAAGGGAAAGGTGAGGGAGAGTGTAGCTTGATTCAGAGGAGGAGGAACCGAGGGTCAACAGGGAACTATGTAAAGCTACTTTAGTAAGGTATAAGACTAAAAGTGTAATTGAGCATAATTTAATTTTTGAGCAGTCCTTAAGTTACCTAACCTCTTCATTTGTAATTGTTATTGCAGGACTCGGGGTTTTTAAACTTGTATCTACTCATAAAACTGTTCTTGCTGCAATAAAAAACAAACAAATATAATATCTTAACAAAGAGAGGGTAATTTATTTGGAATGTGCGAAGTATTGTTATAAGACATTGAACAACGGATAAACTATGAACTGTAATGTGCTTCGTTAACATAAACAACCAGTTAGGAGGAATGCTTACTTGATCAAATTAAATCAAACAGTGATTCTCCCTTTGAACTCAGTTCCAAGTCACCACAAAGGAGACATCTTGAACAAAAGTAAAACTTTCTTTGTGGGTGGGTAAATTATTGTTCGCATTGTGAGAAGCTTTCTGTTTGGACTAAGATCATACTCTTTCCTTTCCAAGATAAAAAAGTGCAATTAGTTTCCATGGCAGCTGCACTGTTCAGTTGGATAATGTGTTTGTTCATAATGTTCTGCAAGGGAGCACCAGGTCAACAAACATTTTATTTCATGCTATGTTGAGTCGGGATACGCCGGTATATTGCAGGATGATGTTTCTTCCAGTTGTTGGTGTAACACTGTATGAGTGTGCTTTAGAACGATGTTCATAATGCTGAATTTGTATTTGTGCATGCATTTGCGTGTCTAACAGAGAAATGACGATGAAGCGGTGGTGGACAGAGGAGGAACGCGGTCCGAGCAGAGAACCAACTTTGAGCAAGAAGATCTTGAAGGTACGTGGATGTACACAATGTGCTGGGAAATACCAAAAGTGTCAAAGAGTGAAAAGGCTTCTGCAGCTGAGACCGCCTACTCTGTCCTCCCAACTGCTGCTTTCCTCTTGACAGCTTTTTTACAGTTAAAAGATAAGAGCAGAGTGGGAGGCAGAAACTGTGGGTGAGCTGAGTTTGCATCAGAAATTTCACAATTGCCCAAAAACACGGACAATCGAAACAAAGACAAAAACCGTGGGATCTCTGGGCCACTAAAGGCCAGGAGCAAGCACCGTCTACATCTGCAGAAACAGATGATCAAAACGTTACAGATTCTCTTTTCTGTGAAAGTGAATTACAATTACCAGGTTGGAGCTTAAAAATCTATTTTGTTTAGCACGTTATCACAGTTATTTTTGACATATATATATTGGTAAACAGGGGTATTCTCTTTTATTTGTCTGTTTTATGTTAAAACAGCACATACATACGTAATGTAGATGTATTCTTTCAATATATAAATAATAGTAAAAATAATTACACTCTTTCTTTAAATATACATTTCTATGAAACCAAAGTGGAATATAAAATCAAAAATAAACTGAACTGAAAAACAGTTTGATGTTACTGTAAAGTGCTTCAGAACAACAATATTCATAACAGAATAGCTTAATTAATTACTTGTGTTTTTCATATATGTAGCATCTAGGAATAGCTTCAACAGTCATTCCAGAGCACACTGTATATACATGCAACCCTGTGTTGTTCTGCAGTGAACTGAGTGGGCTGACTCGAGTGCAAACACAGACTCTCTCTATCTCTTTCTCTCCTCTACTGTCTCGCTCTCCATGATTGCTGTTTTATACTTCCACAAGGAGATACAACATTTACTGCATTTACACTTATTTTCAGTGTTTATGCCCGACAATTTTCAGAAACATTAAAAAAAGGAACCTAAGTAAAATTGGTACCTAACTCTGGGGGTGAACCAATGTTGTGTCTACACATAATAGACAACTTAGTAAAGAACCAGTTTGAAATAGTATCTTTAGGCATTTTGTCACAAAAACAAATCAGTTGTTTAAATTTCTTTAGCTGAATCTATAAAAAGTGCCAAAGATAACAAAGTTTGACATATAAAATAGTGTTTTTGTGCACCAAGAAGATGATTCCCCAAATACTATTAAAGCTATAAAACATAAAAAACTTGGCATATCTTGGGATAGTGTGCAGTGTTTCTTTAAAAAATCTGAAAAAACTGGAGAAATGGAAGACAACAGGGGGAGGCCTAAAAATGATCTAGAGCCGTATCTGAGAATCATGACCAAAAAATGCAGCAAAGACCGACAACAGACCTCAGAGACTGATCTGGCCTTTCAGTTGGTCCATTTAATGTTCAGAAGTGGTCTCACTGGAAGGGTATAGCTGTCAAGAATCCATTCTTAAGGAAGAGAATCAGGCAGAAAAGACCAAGGAATGTTAAATTACACAAGAATTGGTCTTAAAATCAGTGTAACAGGTCTCGTGAATCTGAATTTTTGGTTCAAATCATCATTAGTATGTGCAGGGGAGGTCATAATAGGCATCTGTAAAACATGTTGAAGGCACTCTCAAGGTTTAGAGCTACATTTTCAGCCAGTTGAGTTGGGGATCTCGTTAAAAATACTGAAATTATAAATGTGGAAAAGTGCTGTCAAAGTCTGCAGACTTTGATCCACCATGCAGCAACATCAGGAAAGCATCTGATTAACAGCATGAAAATGGTCTCAAACGCACTGCCAGTACAGTACAAGCATACCTGGACAGAAAAACACTGTGGAACACCATCAGTCATGGATTGGCCTCCCCAGAGCCTGAACCTCAATATTGCTGAAGCAGTGTAGGATCATCTTGACAGAGAACAGAACCAATGGCAATCAACATTGAAAGAAAAGCTTTGAAATGTCTGTTGAAATACTTCACACTTAAACACCTGGAAGAGTTCTGAGGTTATCTAACCAGTTGCTCTGTTAGATTAAAACAGAGAGGTGATCACGCTTTTGCAGCACAGCACTACATCTATGGAATAATCTACCACTACACTACACATCTGCACTGCTCAGACACATTTAAATCTTTTTAATTAATTAATTAATTAATTAATTTTTTAGCATTTGTGACTTTATTGGATAGTGTAGCAGTGAAAATAGACAGAACACTGGGGAAAGAGACACTACGAAGGGCCACGAGTCGGACATGACTCCCTGCGGCTGCACTCGGGACATATACAGTGGGATGCAAAAGTTTGGGCGAACTTGTTAATAGTCATTATTTTCCTGTATAAATCGTTGGTTGTTACAATAAAAATGTCAGTTAAATATATCATATAGGAGACACACACAGTGATATTTGAGAAGTGAAATGAAGTTTATTGGATTTACAGAAAGTGTGCAATAATTATTTTAACAAAATCAGGCAGGGGCATAAATTTGGGCACTGTTGTCATTTTATTGATTCCAAAACCTTTAGAACTAATTATTGGAACTCAAATTGGCTTGGTAAGCTCAGTGACCCCTGACCTACATACACAGGTAAATCCAATAATGAGAAAGAGTATTTAAGGGGGTCAATTGTAAGTTTCCCTGCTCTTTTAATTTTCTCTGAAGAGTAGCAACACGGGGGTTTCAAAACAACTCTCAAATGACCTGAAGACAAAGATTGTTCACCATCATGGTTTAGGGGAAGGATACAGAAAGCTGTCTCAGAGATGTAAGCTGTCTGTTTCCACAGTTAGGAACATATTGAGAAAATGGAAGACCACAGGCTCAGTTCAAGTTAAGGCTCGAAGTGGCAGACCAAGAAAAATCTCGGATAGACCGAAGCGACGAATGGTGAGAACAGTCAGAGTCAACCCACAGACCAGTACCAAAGACCTACAACATCCTCTTGCAGCAGATGGAGTCACTGTGCATCATTCAACCATTCGGCGCACTTTACACAAGGAGATGCTGTATGCGAGAGTGATGCAGAGGAAGCCTTTTCTCCGCCCACAGCACAAACAGAGCCGCTTGAGGTATGCTAAAGCACATTTGGACAAGCCAGCTTTATTCTGGAATAAGGTGCTGTGGACTGATGAAGCGAAAATTGAGTTATTTGGGCATAACAAGGGGCGTTATGCATGGAGGAAAAAGACCACAGCATTCCAAGAAAAACACCTGCTACCTACAGTAAAATATGGTGGTGGTTCTATATGCTGTGGGGCTGTGTGGCCAGTGCAGGGACTGGGAATCTTGTCAAAATTGAGAGACACATGGATTCCACTCAGTATCAGCAGATTCTGGAGACCAATGTCCAGGAATCAGTGACAAAGCTGAAGCTGCGCTGGGGCTGGATCTTTCAACATGACAACGCCCCGAAACACTGCTCAAAATCCACTAAGGCATTCATGCAGAGGAACAAGTTCAACGTTCTGGAATGGCCATCTCAATCCCCAGACCTGAATATTACTGAAGATCTGTGGTGTGAGTTAAAGAGAGCTGTCCATGCTCGGAAGCCATCCAACCTGAATGAACCGGAGATGTTTTGTAAATAAGAAAGGTCCAAAATACCTTCAACCACAATCCAGACTCTCATTGGAACCTACAGGAAGCGTTTAGAGGCTGTAATTTCTGCAAAAGGCGGATCTACCAAATATTTCTTTTTTTGTGGCGCCCAAATTTATGCACCTGCCTGATTTTGTTTAAATAATTATTGCACACTTTCTGTAAAACCAATAAACTTAGTTTCACTTCTCAAATATCACTGTGTGTGTCTCCTATATGATATATTTAATGGACATTTTTTAATGTAACAACCAACAATTTATACAGGAAAATAATGACTATTAACAAGGTTGCCCAAACTTTTGCATCCCACTGTAGCATGCAACCTGCTCACCCACTGAACTAAACTGGCACCCACATGTAAATCTTATTATTATTTTAATTTATTATCTTTTGTATATATTGGATTTCACCAACTTAAAAAAAGAGTGCTATATAAATACATTTGACCTACAGGTAGCCTGATGAACGATTCCTGAAGACTATTTAAATAAAATACAACAAAGGTGGCTGTAAAATGATTGAACTTCAAGCTTGTTAGAAACAAAATTCTGTTTTTGTTTTATATACTGTCCATTTATGGTTACATGGTACAATTTTCACAGCAAACTATAAAGAAAAGAGGTGTAGCTGTAAGCAGGACGGTACATATACTGTACAGTACAATCATTGGATTACTTTGAAATGTACTGTTGTAATTTTATCGCAAAATAAATAATGCAATATATTGCACCGTATGCTAAAATGGACCAGGTCACAATATTTATAGTCATCTATATTTATCAGTGGAATTAATATGCATTTTTCGTACTAGAGTATTACAAATCCACCAACCAAAAAAACTTTTCCATTAATTTATTACAGTTTTATTGTTTGTTTTTTAAAATGGTCCTTATTATTATTATTATTATTATTATTATTATTTTAATGTAACCCTTGTTTCTTCTTCCTTTGTTTAACTAAGAAAATTGGCAACCTGGCAAATTGTTTCCATAATGAACATGTAGCTGAATAATCTTTGACAGTGTAGTTATAATTTTGATGCACATTTTCCCCCTCAAATCTAAGAAGGGCCTATTATCACTTAAAAATAATCTGATTATATAATCCTGTCTAGTTTGAAATCTGATTATATAACCTGCTACCACTCAGGCTTGGTTAGCATTTAAAAGATAAAAAAGAAAGCAGACATGAATCAACAGTGAGGCATCACAAATTCACAGAGGGCCCAGTATCACCAGGTATTACCTCATTACTAGGTAACTGCAAGAAAACATATAACACAAAGTCAGACAGTTATAGAAATACATTTAACTGATTTAGAAGACTCTCATACTACCTCATGCTCTCTGTGTTCCCTGATAATTCACTGTAAGTAACAAATATATAAACAAAATAATAATAATAACGACAGCCTAACATTTCTTCTTAAAGTATTCTCAGTTATATAATTAATGCCATTTAAATAATTTTTAGTATTTATTTTTGTTATTGTTTTGCAAAGTTACATTAAATTTTTGCATTTTACAAAATGAAAGTGAAAAAGGCAAAACCTGCAGCTTTTATCCAAAATACAGTCTACATTATTGTTTGACTAACTTGAAATGGGCACTCCACCCTTTTCCAACTGAGAACCGTTGCCTCAGACATCGACTCAGGTGCTAATTCTCAACCCATCTGCTTCACACCCAGCTTCAAATCACGCCAGTGCAAGCTGGAAGTCATCACTCATTGAAGTCAACAAAACCAGATCCTTAGGCCGCCAGACCTTTAACCCTCCACGCCTCGACTCAATGCAAACCAAAATCTTACTGCAGTTATACAGATACTAGAAACCACTAAAAACAGGTGAAGCTAATCAGACACAAGATTCAGTTCTAGCACTCAGTTTGCCTCCTGCTATGATCAGGGCATGCTGACATGTTACAGGAGGAGCAAACAGTCGATACCTTCCCATCTGTCATTAAGGAGTAAAGGGAATACATTTTTCCAGTACACCTGGAAAAAATATATACTAAAGCAGAAGCAGAAGAAATAAGAAGTAACAGGCATACAGTATACTTGCTTTAATATTCACAACTCTGTTTAAGCTAATTTGGACACAGATTCATTCTGGTTCATGTATCATTAATGACTTAACTGCTTGTCGAGTTAGGTAACGTTTTTATGTACCAAGTATGACATTAGCGCATTACATAATAGTTACACAGAAATCTGCAGGCGCCTGAAGAGATCACGATGAACTGGGCTGAAATAATAATTAATAATACATCAGATAAAGAAGGCTTTTCCATTTAAGTGTCACTGGATTATTGTGGTTTTTCTGCAATCTGTGGATGAAAAGAACTATCTGCTGTTAAATATCTGATGACTAAATGTTTGAGCAAAAAGGTCAAAGAAAAATAATCTTCTCAAACCACAGTTTTTAAAAAAAAAAATTGTTAAACACAAACAGACACTGCTGATTGCAGTTTTACACCAATGTAGCGATTGTGTCCAATCTGTGGAAGTGCGTCTGGTTGTGCTTTTTAGTATTCTGGTAGTCAACCGGCTGTGTGCAGGCAGGAGAAGGACCCAAAAGCAAACTATTGGAAACAGGGCTTAAACTCAAAATACAGCTTTATTTGCTGAGTGGGAAAAAGGCGATACACAACAATACAAAACTAAACCGGGAAATACTAATTCACACAGGAAACACAGTGAGGTCACACAGCTATGAGGGAGGACACAACACAGCACTGAGGGAGACTCTGACATGAATACACAGAAAGATAAAGAGGGACCTGGGAGCACACGGGGAACACGGCTGACACGAATAACGAGATAGGGGAAGCTATACTGAACAGAATGAACATGAAAACATGGGACCTTCACGATAAAACACGAAAGATGATGTGGGAGTGGAGGAGAGGCAGACGAGAGGGAGCGAGGGAACACGAGGGAGAGCACAGACGTGACGGGCTGGGGAAACATGATGGAATAAAACACAATGAGGGGAAACAAAACACAAGGACTCACACAACTCAAAACATCAGACTGTAAACATGCTTTTAAATTTAGACTATTTAGGATGGAAGCCACGAGTCGCCGTTGACCTTTTTGGTGCTTCATTTTTCATTTTTCAGGCTTGGAAGTTGCCCCTTGCTGACCCCGAGTTAATGCTCAGTGTGGCCTGGCGGCAGTAGCCATTACGTGATTACATCTTATCTGTCTGAGCCATGCGTTCGAATAAAATAAAAATACGCAGGATGAATGGATTAACACACAGAAGTAGCATTTAACCTGGGCAGAGTGAGTGTATTTTATAGTCTTTAATCATGTTTGTCCCCAGGTCACAGGACTCTCTACATTGGGGTCCACGTCCCTTTGGGCAGTACCAGACACCGCAGCCATCGCCGGCACCGCCACCATGGAAACAAGTACAGCAGGAGGCGAAGCAAGGAGCGAGTCCGCACCTTGGTGGAGGGTAGAGAGTCTCCGATTTATGGTACAGACATTATTGCTTTAAAGCAGCCAGTTATTACTTTGTAATAACCATAGGATCTTGGCTACAGTTAATCTCAGTTTGTACCAATTATTTGAATCCACTGCGTTTCTAGATACTCCGTCCCAAAGAGTGCAGTTCTTGCTGGGTACAGAGGATGATGATGAGGAGCACATTCCTCATGATCTCTTCACGGAGATGGATGAGATCTGTGTGAGGGAAGGAGAGGATTCGGAGTGGAGGGAAAGTGCCAGGTACTGTCAACATGGACACATTATCTACAAGGTCCTCGCTGAAAGCTCTGATTAAAAATATCCACTTACACTGATGTTTTTGTGTTCACTAAATTAAGTAACTGCAATTCATAGCTGCAATTGTGGCGCATTTTTAAATTCATTTATGTCTGCAATGGTTGTTGATGTTAAGATGTCTTTTCTTGTATGTATCAAAGATTATGGATCTCTGTTGACATGGTAAATCTGACATGTTATTTAAAGAGATATACACTAAAGAAAAGCAGTAAAGAAGGAGACTAAAAAAGTACATTTTAGAGAGAAATATATGACTTATACGTGAGCAGAGAGGGACCTAGAATGAATAAGTGTTGTTACTGCAGCTAGAACAGATGGCCTGCCAGTTTGTGGTCTGTTGGCCTCTCCTGACAGGAACTCAAATTCCTGTTGCAGGTGGCTGAAGTTTGAGGAGGATGTTGAGGATGGAGGGGAACGATGGAGCAAGCCCTACGTAGCAACGCTGTCTCTTCACAGTTTGTTTGAGCTGCGCTGCTGCATTATCAACAGCACCGTGCTGCTCGATATGAGGGCAAGTACCATTGAAGAGATTGCAGGTAATGACTTGAATTCTGTTTTCAAGAAATTTTACTTTTTGGGAAAATTTGTAACTATTTTCAATGTATAAATATGGGTTTATTAATCATTTGCTCAAGATTTAAGTGCAAGAAACTGAATGCATCAGCTTGCGTTTGTCTATCTTAGACATGGTCTTAGACCACCAGGAGTTGTACTCACCACTGGGAGATGAGCTCAGAAAGAAAGTGCGTGAAACACTACTGAAGCAGCACCATCACCAGAACCAGAAGAAGCTGGCTAATCGCCTGCCACTTGTACGTTCCATCGCTGACATTGGCCGGAAAACATCTGAGCTTCATCTGGATAAAAACGGTGAGAAAACCTGAGAGTCTGTCTCCTATAAAATAATATTCTAAAAAGAAAGAATCACTCTTTAGTTAAAGTGGTCACAACATGTTGCCTTATACCAACTGTTGGAAGTGTTCTAGTGTGTATAATTTGTGAATGCGCAATATGTGTATGTGTCTTTAATACATATGGTCTTAACTTGTGCATATTTCCATCTTTTGCTCATTCCTCATTCTGTCCACAATCTGCCCACCCACCTGCCACAGCCCCACTCAAGTGAACAGGTGCTGGTTTATACACTATGCCCTTGCCCCTTTACTAGCTTTTACTCAAAAAACACATTGCAGAGAGGCTTCTTGTGATTTATGTTGGCAACTCTCATGACTGGCAACTCAAAATAGATAATTTTGGTAGACAGAAACAGTTAAGTTAAAGAGAAGATTGAAAAGAAAATGTTTAATAGGCTGTATAAAAAAATGTTAATATTGGTCTTCATGGTGCAAAAACTATTTGATTGAATTTTGGGCTGAATTTAGTAACTGGAAGCTCTATTTTCCACTATCTTTGCCAGCTACATTTTATAAGCTTAAGGTTTGCCAGAATCCCAGATCACTAAATTAGTTACAGAACAAACCAAACTGTTTGTTCAAAGATTTTCTCATTTGAGGGTGTTCTTAGTATTGTTTTATTTTAACAGGCCGTTTTAAAGCAACAATCTGAGATAAGCTCCACGTCATGTATTGTGAGTGTATTAGACACTATAATTAGTGTTAATTTTTGACCCTGCTGCTTAATGAATACAGAAATTAGGCCAAACCTGTCAGGCAGCTTGGCAGTGATCACGCTGATGAGCATGGATTTTTTTAGACAGCAACACTGCTGAAATTCATTTTTTAAATCAATAATTGCTCCAGAAAGTTGTACTTATCTCTGTGTGATCATCCTCATTTGCCTTTATTTAATGAAATTAATCAGCTACTAAGTGCAGGTGACCATGGAGTGTAATGAAACTAGTTACAAAGCAGTTCATTAATAGATATCCAACTGAACAATAAAACAGAAGTAATTCAGTTTTTAACAATTTATTGAATAATTAATATTTGCATTCAAATACTTCATCATTTACTAAGTTTTGTTCAGATTTTATGTTTTCAGTTAAAGTATAAACTCAGATGGTCGCCATCATTAGCTGTTCAGTTTTTCGTTAACATGTGGCAGCAACAGACATGATTGACATGTTGAAGTTCAAAACAAGCATCAGAATGAGAGAGAAAGACAATTTAAGTGACTTTGAATGTGACAATAATAAGATTGATACCAGATGGGCTGGTCTGAGTGTTTCTGAAACTGCTGATGTACTGGGATTTTCCCACACAAATATCTAACGCGTTTACAGAGTGTGAAAGAGAGAAAATATCCATATCCGGTCTTCTTTTTGAGCTGCTCTGAGTTGCTCTGAAGGCAACAGTAAGTCAAATGATCACTTGTTACAACCAGGTATGCAGAAGAGCATGTCTGAATACAAAAAATATGTCAGCCCTTGAAGCAGATAAACTGCAGCAGCAGAAAACCACATCGAGTGCCACTCCTGTTAACTAAAAACAGGAAAGCAGGGCCAGAATTTACACATACTCACCAAAATTAGACAATAGAAGACTGGAAAATGGTCTGCTATGAGGACTTTGACCTCTGCTGCGACATACAGATGGCAGAGGGAGAATTTGACATTAACAATATGAAAGCATAGCTCCATCCTGCTTTTTATCAGTGGTTCAAAAATTGCTGCTGTTGGTGGTGTAATGGTGTGGAGGATATTTTCTGGTTTTGACTTTATGCCCTCTGGTATCTGGTCATTGTTAAATGCCACAGACTACCTGAGTATTGTTACTGACTGTGTCCATTGTCTTTATGACATGGTGACGGTTGGTCACTATGTCACCAAGCTAAAATAAACTTAAATTGGGTTCTTGAAGATGACACAGAGTTTATTGTACTCAAATGACCTCCACAGTCACTAATCACAATCCAACAGAGAACCTTTTTGAATGTGGTGGAACAGGAGAATCTCATCATGGATGGACAACAGTAACTGTGTGACGATATCATATCAATATCAACCAAAATCTTGGCATAATATTACCAGCAATTTGTTGATTTATTTAAGGCAAAATGGGATCCTGTCTAAGCACGGTGGCACGGTGGTTAGCACTGTTGCCGCACAGCAAGAAGGTCCTGAGTTTAATTTGCATGTTCTCCCCGTGTTTGCGTGGTTCTCTCCGGGTACTCCGGCTTCCTCCCACTGTCCAAAGACATGCACTTAGTGGGGATAGGTTAATTGGTCAATCCAAATTGCCACTAGGTGTGAATGTGCGAGTGAATGTGAGTGCGAATGGTTGTCTGTCTCTGTGTGTTGGCCCTGCGACAGACTGGCGACCTGTCCAGGGTGTACCCCGCCTCTCGCCCTATAATAGCTGGGATAGGCTCCAGCGACCCTGAAAAGGATAAGTGGACGCGAATGGATGGATGGATGGGATCCTGTCTAGTACTAGCAAGGTGTACCTAATGAAGAGAATGCAAATTGTTAGCTTCTGCTTTTCCAAAGAAAAACAAAACCCCCCCCCAAAAACCCCCCAAATCTATGACACTTATAGATAAAATTAATTCATGTGTATTTTGAGCTAATTAAATATCTGGTCTGGACTGTTCAGGTCAGCTGACCGCCTCCCAGTCTCAGTTAGCAGTTCAAGATGGAAAAGGGGATATCAGTAGAGATAACAGCTCTGTGGACTTCAGCAAGGTATGGTACACAATTTATACAGGTGCAGGCATAGTGTGTGTAGTATATGTGCAAAAGCCTAGAAGGTATATATATTGCTCTATGTATGCTATATACAATACATTTATATAAAAAAATGCCAATTCTTCAAAATATTATACATTTTCATATGTAGACTACTCAACATATAAAGAATAAAAACACGCATTAGTGTGCCAGTAAAATGTTTGCATCATAAATGTATTTAATGCTTGAAATAGTAATTGCAAATAACAATGACAATAAAAATAACAATAAAAAGATACTTCTTGGAAATCCAGTGTGAATATAAGCATATACATAACACTATCAGATATGAGAAAAAGAGTGTGTCATACCAGACTCTGAGCAGACTATTACTTTATTGTGTGTCATTGTTGCCATTTTAATGGAAAGGTCATCTAGTAAGGGATTAGGATTATAACCCTGTTAAGTATATAAAAAAAGACTGTCACCACAGATAATAACCACAACCACACACACCAATGATCGAAATAAAATCCTCACTGAAACCATTTGCATAATGTTTATGAGTTTAGCCTGTTGTCTAGGTCAGTGAATTAACTGCTTCATGTGCTTTGCCAGGAGCACTGGGACAGTTATAAAATGCACTGTGCTTTTATAATGGTTGAGATAAACAAACAAAAATCATTCACAGAAGAATTTTTCTTATAAAATAATACACATATGTTTTCCAACTGCAGGTTATAATTTACTTTAAATACAAAGAATAATTATTTCTCTAGTATAAAACTTCAAAAAATTCTCAATATTGCACTATTTTTGAAAGTCAACACATATAGAAATAGGAATTTGTTTGGTATCTGAATGGTTGCAGCACATGCATTACTGTGTATGTTGTGAATATTATTTGCGTTGGCACTAGCAGCTGCCCAGTAATACAGTAAAACTAAAAAAAACGAACTAACTAAAAATACAAACTACCAACAACAAAGGATAAAGTGACTGAAAGAGGATTATTTTTATCATCAGGAGCAGGTTTTATATGCTATTAGGCATCTTATTTGCTTGGAAATGAAAAATAACCTAGCCTTATGAGTTATTATGCAACAAATCAAAGTAATATTTGTTTTTTTAACACTGTTGTGTTATATTTCATTCACTCACCTGCAACTAATTTGACTGTTATGTCCTCTGACACATAAATCCTGGGCAATTTCAATCCATTTAGTCTGAATGTCATTTAATATCTTACATTTGGGGCTTATTATGATGGTAAGGTGTAAAATGTGGTGCCACTATTTTAAACCATTCTTATTGTGAGACCTGTTTGGATGTTATGCTAACCATGAAGGATATTATTAAGCACTGTTCTTTGTGGCCTTTTTCAGATAGACATTCATTTCATGAAGAAGATCCCACCGGGAGCGGAGGCCTGCAATGTGTTAGTTGGCGAGCTGGAATTCCTGAACAAGCCAGTGGTGGCGTTTGTCCGCCTTTCACCGGCGGTTCTGCTCAATGGACTGGCTGAAGTCCCGATTGCCACAAGGTCACTACAGTATGATGTGCCTAAACTAGGTCGAGATCACAGAAAGAAGTCAGCCACATTTGATTTGACAAATCAAATTAAAATGATGTGATTTTGCCTCTAGGTTTCTATTCATTCTCCTGGGTCCCTTGGGTAGAGGGCCTCAGTATCATGAGATTGGGAGATCTATTGCAACACTGATGACAGATGAGGTAAGAATTCACTAAGGGAGAAATATTACCAAGTTGTCATTCTGAAGGGAGTATTTATTCATTACTGTTTTGAAGAAGTGGGTAGATTGGTGTAAATGTCAGTCAGATGTCATACTCAGACTTTCTGCAGGCACTTTGCATAAATTCACAGCCCAGCAGAACTCACCAAATTTCAAAAGTGATGGAACATTTCTCAGCGTGAAGTACAGCTCAGAGCTTTAATGACATGCTCTTGGTGATTACTCAGCCCCTGTGCTCTCCTTTTCTGTCTGGATCTTATGCTGTCATCCACCATAACTGTGGAAAAGAGAAAGTCTGAACTTAATTACAAACACACTGTTTGGAATAAGCGTAAATGAGTCAGTTAAATTTAGTTTGTGCAGCACCTGTCAGGTAATCCAAAGGTGAAGCTGCTGTAAACCGTCCCTAAGTGTAAATCCTCTTTTAACAGATATAAAAAGTGATGGCTGTTGTTCAGAGAGTGTTGCATATACACTGCACCACACTGATATAGTGCATATAAACATATGTCTCTGCTTGCAGGTTTTCCATGATGTTGCCTATAAAGCTAAAGATCGAAATGATATAATTGCTGGTATCGATGAATTCCTTGATCAAGTGACAGTCCTGCCTCCTGGGGAATGGGACCCGTCTATACGGATAGAGCCACCAAAAAATGTACCTTCTCAGGTCAGTAGGAATTTTATTAATCAGTTGCTGACTTTTTAAATTCAGTCAAATTCAGGAACTCTTTAATATTTGATAAAACTGCGCCTCTGTAGTGAGAACAAGATTATTATTTCCACTGACAATACTTTCTATGCAGATCATTCCAAGAATCCATGCAAAACTGAGCCTTCATTCAATAATTGTTTTATAAGTTACAGGCTCTCGAATTATACAGACTGGATCAAAAAATTTGCCAATATTTTCTATCCTAAGTTCTTAATTAAAGGAGAAATTCCAGGGCTGGAAAACATATTCAAGCTCTGTTAAAAACTCCAAGAAAACCAATTTTACACTCGCTTAGAGTTTCTAAATATAAAGACAATATTGTTGTTTTTTCATAGTTGCTTATAGTTTTTAGATTTTCTGAAACAGTCACCATGTGATGGGTCTCTTTTTTAGTCTAAAATTTGACACCAGGCCTATCCTAGTGCCATTAGAAAACTATGGGATTTTAGGTTGGAGAAACTGAAGTCAAATAATTTTTGACTGAATGATCCATTTGGCATTATGGCTCTGTGCTGGGACATCCCCATCCACCCAGGAAGAACAGCTGCAAGATGCCAGCACAGATAGAGAGCAAGCATCAGTGATGACAGATATGACATTGATGAGGCCAGACAGAACAAGAAGGGTTTGCAGATGCACAGCCACTGTGAGCAGGTTAAAGCAGCTTAGATAGTGCACCATACATGAGATTTATCATTTGAATGTATAGAAGAGTATCACGTAAGGCATGAGCTGATTGTGTGCTGGGATTGCGGCTGAGCTTGACTTTTGACCTGCTTAAACTAATGCTATGCATCATTTGTGCCTTGTTTGTTAAACAGGAGAAAAGAAAGAAAAGTAACATTTTACCAAATGGATTAGTTGAGGGGGAAGAAGAAGAAGAGCACGATGCTCATGGCAGCCCAGAACTGCAGCGTACTGGGAAGTGAGTCACTTTGTGCTGAACATTGGGGGGGTCAAGATCTCTGTCTAAATAAATAAATAGATATGGATAAATTTCCAGATGATTAAACATGCAACCATTTTGCTGGTAATACCTGAAATGAGTAAAGAAAATCAACAGCCTATTTATGCAAGATTATTCATAATTTTATTGGGGGGGTTATATTGGTTGGGTCTGATTATTTCCAGGGGGGGTCATAACCCCCCAAACCCCCCTGGAAATTACGCCCCTGTGAGTCACCCAGGAAGTTTTTTTTGTTTTTTTTCTCAAAGGGAACCGTGATCACCAGGAAGTTAAGATGTTCACTAAGCCACCTTTTTAAGCATAAATGTGCTGGAGATAATTTAGGATAATTCTACTAAGCGTCTAATGATTCACACTACTTTATTTGGTGTGTTTTCTCCTCATGTGTTGTACACATAAAAGGAGTTTGAGGTTGAATCAGCTGTGCTTCTACAAAATGTAGACTGTGATGCTAATCGGCTATTCCTGGGGAAACTTGGTCTGCAGTTGCAGTGATAAAGTGGTTTCCATAGAAACATTCTATCTCCAGATCTCAGCTTTTGCAGAGAGACTTTATCCGTCACGGGGAACTATTACACTAAGCCAATAGCTGAGCACTGGGAAGGCAGCGAAAGGAAAACAAGTTAGGGGAAAAAAACTAGCTCATTTAAATTAATAAAACTGTCAAAATGAAAAGCTCAGAATGCTGACACTAATATTTATTCATTTATTTATCTTCCCAGGTGGTTTGGCGGTCTCATTTTAGACATCAAACGCAAGGCCCCTCACTACCTGTCTGACTACACTGATGCTTGTAGCTTACAGTGTGTCGCCTCTTTCTTATTCCTCTACTGTGCCTGCATGTCCCCTGTCATCACCTTTGGAGGACTTCTGGGCGAGGCAACAGAAGGACGCATAGTAAATCACCTTCCTATAAATGTTCACGCTGTTCTGCAAAGACTAGCTTCACACTGTAGTAGAGTTTCACTAGACAATACTTGTAGTTCAACATCATGAATCCCTTTTCAGCATATATATCCATTAGTAATTTCTTTGTCCTTTCCCATCCCCCAGAGTGCAATTGAGTCACTGTTTGGAGCCTCACTGACTGGAATTGCCTATTCCCTGTTTGCCGGGCAGCCCCTTACCATTCTGGGGAGCACGGGGCCTGTGCTTGTTTTTGAAAAGATATTGTTCAAATTCTGCAAGTATGTTTTTTTTCCTTGACAAATGTCGAATTTTGTTTTGTTACATTGTCTGACTTGAAAATGAATGTATTGGCCATGAATTGATCTCATGGACAAAAAGCATGCAGTTTTATTTTAATATTGATTTTCCTCTAATTCGCAATATTTCAAAGACAACTGTTCTTGTTAATCTCAACATAGGGAGTATGGCTTGTCCTATCTGTCACTGAGGACCTGTATCGGCCTGTGGACAGCTTTCCTCTGTATTCTGCTGGTGGCCACAGATGCCAGTTCCCTCGTTTGCTACATCACACGTTTTACAGAGGAAGCCTTTGCCTCACTCATCTGCATCATTTTCATCTACGAGGCCTTGGAGAAACTCGTCCACCTGGGGAAACACTATCCCTTTAATAAGAACAACAACCTGGACAAACTCACCTTGTACTCGTAAGTGGACATTAATTCTCATAGCATGGGCTGTTTAAAGTAATGCAGGAATAATTTTGAAGACCATTTCTTAGCCATACAGTAAATCCATGATGACAGATTATTAACTTACCCAGATGCTCATGTGCTACCACAGATGTTCATGCGTTGAGCCTTCTGACCCCACCAATGGCACCCTGAAGTACTGGGAGATGAACAACATCACTGCTTCAGAAATCTATTGGGAAGCACTGGAGGTCAAGGTATTACTGAACCACTAAAAAGTATTAAAAAACAAAACAAAACCAAAAAGCAAAGCATGAACAAATCTGTTAGTTATGGTAGTTTTATATGTATATAAGACATATTTAAATACTGATTTACATGGGGACAAGTTTGAAAAGCATTTATTTAGGTTTTCCACCTTAAAGTGACATCCTTTTCCAGATGGGAGAGATAGAGCAGATTAAGGGCACGTGTGTTGGATTATATTGGATTACTCAAACTGCACTGCAAATCACTGTAAAAGCACATTTTGAAAGTTTTTTGTAGACATGGGAGTTCATAAACCCTGTAACGAATAGTTGTGCCCTGTTCTCTGCAGGGCTGTATTGAAAATCGTGGGGAGTTTGTGGGCAGTGCCTGTGGACCTCAAGGACCCTACGTTCCTGACGTTCTCTTCTGGTGTGTCATTCTCTTCTTTTCCACGGTCTTCATGTCAGCTTTCCTCAAGGAGTTCAAGTTCAGCAACTACTTTCCGACCAAGGTACTGTCCACAGTCTGTTATCAGTTTTGATAGTGTATCAAGATTATGACTGAATCATCAAGAGAAAGGTACTAGTTGTCACTAACTTAGCATGTCTTTACTTTTGTTGCACAATGCAGTGGCACACTCTAGTGGTCATACTTAAGTATAGCATGATTAAAAGGCAGTAGTGACTCAATTGATTGGTTTCTATTAATTAGTATTAATGAAACCCATACATTTATGGATTGTTTTAAGTTTTTTTTTTTTTTAACAAACACCCCTCTATTTTTTTGGTTTGTTTTATTTAGGTCAGGTCCGTTATCAGTGACTTTGCTGTTTTCATCACTATCCTAACCATGGTCTTGGTTGACTATGCCTTAGGGGTCCCATCTCCAAAACTGAAAGTTCCCAGTGTGTTTAAGGTGAGCCAGAGCATACAATAAATTGTTCAGTTCAACCTTCAAAATGAAAGATTAAATATACACAAGTCTATCTCAAAACAGCACACACATACCCACACACACAACCCCAGTTCTGAAAACGTTTGGACACAGAATAAAACTATTTGCAAATCTCGTAAGCCCCTTATTTAATTAAAAATAGAGAAAAGAAACACATCGATGTGTAAAGTAGGAAACACATCTCAAAAAAAGTTGCAGCGGGGGTGACAAAAGGCTTCAAGCAGTACTAAAGCAAAACGACTTGAAAAACAAAGAAAAAAAAAAGCAATGTAGTCAGGCAGAGTTCACCATTCTCCAACATGTTTCCCAACTTAAAATGTCAACATCTACAGTATAACACCATGAAAAGACTCCAGGAATCTTGAAAAATCATGTCAAGGCTGAAAATCATTATTGTCTTAGGAAAACATGGACCTTGCATCCTGCAGACTAAAGAGGAGAGGGACCACCCAGCTTATTATCAGTACTCATTTCCAAAAGCCTGCATTTCTGATACTGGTACAGGGGCGCATTAGCACCTATGGAACTGGCATCTTCCACCTGTGGAAAAGCACCATCAGTGGTGAAAAGTGTATACAGGTTTTGTAGCAACATATGTTCCTATCTAGAGGACATCTTTTTCAGGGAGGACATATCTCAGCAAAACAGTGCTAAAGTGCATACTGCGGGTATTACAACAGCATTGCTTCACAGTAGATGAGTCTGGGTGCTGAACTGGCCTGTTTGCAATCCAGACCCTTCACCATATGAAAACATTCGGAGCATGTAAACAATGAAACAAACAAATAATGAAGCAAAAACATGACAAAGAAGACCCAGGACTGATCTAGTCTGACCTAGCTCTACATCAGACTAGAATGGGGGAACAGTCATTTACCATAAAGTTCAGCAGCTGGTCTCCTCAGTTCCCAGATGTTTACTGATGTTAAAAGAAGAGGGGATCCTACACACTGATAAACATGGTCCTGTCCCAAGTTCAGAATGACCTAATATTTAAAACATTAGATTAAACATTAGATATGTTTTTAATCTTCTATTGTGAATGAAATGTGGGTTTATGAGATTTGAAAATTATTCTGTTCTCTTTTTATTTACATTTTACACTACATCCCAACTTTTTCAGAACTGGGTTTGCATATGTTGCTGCCCTTACTGGCCAGAAGAAGATACCCATCTATGGTGACTTTAAGGGATGGGGAAATGCACATCCCAATACACAGTGAATACACAATTTAAATACACGAGGACAGAGAATGGAGATTATGACTCCCCATCACTTGCTATGAGAATTCCTTTAAAATTACTCTTGACATGCTATTTTAATGTAATCACCTAACCAAACGCAATATTTTCTCATTAGCCAACAAGAGATGATAGAGGTTGGTTCATCACCCCATTGGGGCCTAACCCCTGGTGGACAGCAGTCATAACGGTGGTGCCAGCTATGCTTTGTACCATCCTTATCTTCATGGACCAGCAGATCACGGCTGTCATAATCAACAGAAAGGAACACAAACTCAAGGTACTTTCCTGCTTTCCTACAGACTGCAAATGAGTTGCATAATATCTTGCTGAACTGCATCAAAACAGCTCAACTTTAACTTTATTAACCGGTATCTCCCCTCTCTAGAAAGGCTGTGGATATCATCTAGATCTGTTCATGGTTGGGGTTATGCTAGGTGTTTGCTCTTTGATGGGGTTGCCATGGTTTGTAGCAGCCACCGTCCTCTCCATCACCCACGTCAACAGCCTGAAACTTGAATCCGAGTGCTCAGCTCCCGGGGAGCAGCCCAAGTTCCTTGGTATCAGAGAGCAGCGCTTTACCGGGCTCATGATCTTTGCTCTTATGGGGTGCTCGGTCTTCATGACATCAGTGCTCAAGGTGAGACGCTCGTTTGAACTCATTCTGCAGTTATGATCACAGTATTATTAAATGTGACTTGAGTTACAAAGATGCTTACTGTTTTATATCGCTATTTTCAACGCCTTAAAGCATTTGAAACATACACAGGTTTTTGTGTTTACACTTAATTTTTCCAAGTATCCCTCAGGAACTGTATGAAATATATTTCTCTATTGTTGATTTTCAGTTCATACCCATGCCTGTGTTGTATGGAGTATTCCTGTATATGGGAGCATCTTCTCTCAGAGGCATTCAGGTAAAAGTTGTTGGAATTTCACAGTAATATGTAATTTATTTGCTGAAATTATGCATGTGAGAAAATAACATGTGTTATTTTTCCTATAGGATAATCTGTGTAGGCTTTACATTCTTGCTTAGCCATCATAGGGGATCGCCTCCATATTGTCTGGCTGCCCAGATAAGAAGAGCTAATTGGTCTCTAGCGTGTTCCCATCTTAAAATGATGGGAGCTCACTAAAATAGTGCTTATTTTCACTATTTTTAACAGTTGCCTTTTTAAACTTCTTTTCAGTGGTCTGACTTATTGTTGCTACACATTCACAGAGAAACTTTTCACTTGCCTTAGTGTTAGACTTTCTGCACAAGCTTGTCAGGAGTCTAGTCTGCTTGGCTTTTGACGCTTAAAAGGGAATTTATTTTTGGTTTATAAAAGCTTAGCTGTTTGACCTAAAAAAATAAATAAAGCAGTGTTATATCTATAGGTTGTTCATTATAAACTTATACTGCACATCTAAACCTTACTCTGATTTTCTAAGTATAGGCTTTATAAACAGCTGATGCTCTCAGAAGCTCTCAAGAAGATTAATATAACCTTAAAGCTCCTTTATGGCAAAGGGGGAAATTGTATGTTTAATCAGGATTAAAACAGCTGTCTATGGCCTCTGGAGTGATGAAAGCAGACTCAATCATACCTAAAATGTCTAACTTTAAAACCGAAATCATGAGATTGCATTGTAGACAGAGAGCGATTAATCTTAACCTTCCATGTGTTGTGATTTTATAGTAATAATGCTCACATTTGGACTATTTTTAATCAAGAAGTAAATAAGTGTAATAAATAAGAATAATTACCTTTCCTTTGCAGTTTTATGACCGTCTCAGATTGTTCGGTATGCCAGCCAAGCACCAGCCCGATTTCATCTACCTACGACATGTACCCCTGAGGAAGGTGCACCTCTTCACCATCATCCAGCTCAGCTGTTTGGTTCTTCTGTGGACCATCAAGACATCCAGGGCTGCCATTGTGTTTCCTATGATGGTCAGTAAACAGCGCATTTTCCTCACACTCAAATATATTGGTTGGGGCTACAACCTTTAGGAAAACCAGAAGGGAAAAAGAGCGTGTGAAAGCATTGATGCACATGGTCGAAAATGATCTGTGATGATGTATCTGACATTCCTGTGTTGGTGTTGTTCCTGCACCATCATCATGAAACTGGTTTTCAGTTTCAGCATTGCTGTTAACCTGTTGTGATGTTACAGTGTTGAAAAATTGAAGAAGAAAAAAATGCATTTGTTTATATAAACCTCTCTCCTGGAACAAGTGTTCCAAGTGTTTTCTTTATTAATTTATCCAATATGACAAATATACAGCAAATTTAAGTCACTCATGTCGGTTTGCTTGTAATAGCTTTCAATAGCATTGGCTAACCTCTTGGCTAATGCTATTAAAAGCCCAGACAGGGACTGGTCAGTTTCATTGTTGATTCTGGACCAACACTGTTATGATGACGTAGGAACACCAATACAAGGATATCAGATCATACATAAAAAATGCTGTATATGTTAAGTTTCTTACATACTTTGCTTCATATTAAAATAAATAGATCTAGCTCCTCAGCACAGTGTCCTTCGTTATTAAAATGGTTCCTTGAGTCATCTGTTTGTTCTTCTGTGGCACTTCTGTAGGTGTTGGCTTTGGTGTTTATCAGGAAACTGATGGACTGTATCTTCACCAAGAGAGAGCTAAGCTGGTTGGATGACCTCATGCCAGAAAGCAAGAAGAAGAAACTAGAGGATGCTGAAGAGGTGTTTTTTCCCTTCCTTCCTAAACAAATGGCATTGTACTAATATTTTGTTACTATTTACATGGCTTTAAAATGAGTTGCTTTCATTTATTAAACCTTCAGGAGGACGAGGAGCAGAGTATATTGGCAGAAGATGACGGAGTAGAGCAAGTGCCATTAGAGGGGTATAAGTAAGTTTTAGGGGCAGCATTTAAATGCTTTTGTAAATGTTGATATTCATATGGACTATATAAGTGAATTTGTGTGTTGTATTTTTTAGAGGAATACCCATCATCAACATCACAGATGAAATGTCCAAAGGCTCTTTTGGAAATACTTGGAATGCCAGTGGTTGAGATACTTCAAAAAGAAAACAATATGGTAAGAATATTTGCATTGCATATTTGCAACATTTTCATACTTGTAAATCCAGTGCAGGAACTAGTTGTGCATCCACACACATACACATACACA